GTTAGTTTCATCTCCACCACAATGGCAGAAGAGTACTTTTTACATCTTACCAGCCTAGAAAATACCGACATTATCACAACACAGCCTCTGCATTTCAGAATAACATCTTACCTCTACACTTAAATGTTGGCATTAAATATAAAATGGCGCTTTTAAATATGTTAGTGCCGAGGAAAATTAACGCACTTATAAAAGATGATGTACATTCGTCAGTTAACTTTTATGGTACTTTTACAATTGATGAATCTGAAATTTAACATATAATATTCACGTTTACACCCAAGCAAGATATACTCTCACGAGATGTGAGGTATATGGTCAAGCTTCACCGCCAAATGAAAACAGATAGGCAATTAGGTTTTAAAGATGTTACGGCCCTCTCGGGTCGCAACTGAGTTCGTACTCTGATGTTATTAGAGTAAGTTGTATCCGACCCCAAGCCAGTAGTGGCTTTCAAGGGATGCGATCCGTGACGCAAGTAACTTAAAGGGGAAGGGAAATAAAGTTAAGAACTTAAGATTATAATTACCATCACCAATAAATAATATATAAAAAAGAGTACACAGGGGGAGGGGTATTAACACTATACAGGGGAATTATTCACACAATTGTCTTCTCCTGAAGACTCTGGATCCACGTTCTCGATGCTAAGTCCTCGGTGCTTTCGTGGTCTCTTGACGAATCTTTCGATCAAGCTGAGTCTACCTCCAAACACAGGCCAGCCAAAACACAGTTCCACTGGGGGCACCGCCGTGGAGGCCGTCAACCACAAGTCCAGCAGGTCTGCTGGCAGGTTCCAGATCAGCAACTCTGGTCAGGCCACTCCACGAGCGATACTAGGGTAGCGCCCTAGTCAGGAGCCTCGTGTGATACCACAAATCACTCTCCTGTCCTCAATGCCCCAGTGGATAACCGTCTCCAGCAGTCGGTCCCAGGTAAGACAATCCTTCTACTGCCACTACACTGGCAGGGTAACACCACAGTGTTCTTCCGGGAGACGACTTCACAGCTGCTGCAGCAAGGCACAAGGTATGGGGACGGCTGCCTCGGGTAGACTGACTCAACTCCCATCACAGCAGTCCCAGGTCGACTCTGTAAGCAGACATGTCATCAATAACTGGGACACACTAAAACACCTCACTTACGGGCTCAGACACAAACGCCCGACGTATCCACTCCATAGATGGCGTTGTAGTCTGAGCACCACCTCACCAGAGGTCAGCAGCGGCGGTGTTGTGAGTTGAACAGGACTGGAAACTGGCCCTTGTGGCCGGTATACGTCATCCTCACCAGGTGTCGTCGTCCGTTTGGAGGGGGTTTCAGGAGCTGGCCCACAGATGGCGCGGTCGTCACTGCTCCGTGCTCGGACACTGGATCCGGGTTCGTAACAAAAGATGATTTTAATAAATATTTTTCAGATGGGGATACTATCCTCTCTTATGACTTAACATTTTAAAGAGTACTTTTATCCTCTATAATTAAATATCGCGAAGGGCGAATCTTATCGTCGCTTAGGGTTCACTTTAAAGACCGAATGGCAAGAGTGCTTGGTTTTGATTCTGACAAAAAACATACTCTTTATCAATCTCGCCTAGTAGATATTGAGTCTGTATCAAAACAAATTGCATTGTATACACCAGACATGGATGGCGGGTGCGATTATTTTCTGGTGTATTGCGATGTAATCGAACCACTAATCTTTGGCAGTCAGTCTGTCAATATATTAGATGCTTTCAGCTTTCAAGATTCTTACGCTAAAGGAGTTCAGCCTCTTATGTATAAATATCTCAATACCAACATTTTAGGTACAATCATAATTAAGATCACTGACCAATTTCGTCGGTTGGTTAGTTTTTAGGGTGGACGCTCAGTCACAGCCATTTTACACATACGTCCCAAATTATAATAAATAGTCTCGCACCTGTCATATGTTAGTTATTATATAGGCAACCTCAGTCATGAGAGTACCTTTTCACCCACCGAGTCAGCAAGAATTTCTGGACTTATTTGGAGTCCAGCCCGGGAAACGTGGAGGAGGTTTGGACGACATACGTGTATTCCAGGCACCTTATCATCATAGAAGCGGGGGATTTCTAAGTGCACTGGCTGAGATGGTGCGCAGGGCAATACCATTTCTAATGCGCAGTATTTTCCCGAGCGCAATTGATTTAGGAAAAAATATATTGGATGATTTGTCAAGTGGGAGACGAGATGTAAAGACCTCTCTTAAGACTCATGGTGTAGATGCCCTTAAGGGGGTTGCCGAGAAGATAGTGACGGGAGGTAGGGTTAACAGAAAGAGAGTCATTAAGCTACAGCAATCTAGGAAATCTTCCAATAAAAATGCCAATTACAGAGGTGCACAACCAAAGTCGTGTATCAGCTATAAGAATGACATATTCTCTATAAGTTAGACAGTCGTCATCTGACAGCGAGACGATCATGGAGGGTGTAGATAGTAGTGGGGCGAGAGTTCCTATTGAAAATTATACTTCCAGTATATATTGTAAGGGTTCACCCCCTTCCTACCTGTGGTTGGGGTCGTTCCACAGGTCTTAGCCCCTCAGTACCGGGCGCCACTGCTCGCCCTTGGGCTCCCCCAGTCAACTAAGGGCTGGCCTTATACACCCCTAGCGAGTGGGGAGGTTCAAGCTTCCTATAACTCACCTAAACCTGCCTGTCCTGACACTGGAACACTCTCTTGGATATCTGGTCTATTCAGGTCGCCAGCTGGGTGTTTACACTCGTGTCCCAGCAACACGTCAGTGGTCTTAGTGGTTATTTTAATCAAGGATGCAATATCACGTGCAGTGCAAGGTGTCACTAATGGTCTCATAAATATATATATATAGCCCTAGAGAATGGAGGCTCACTTAAACTCATCAGTTAGTTTAAAAGTTTACTGAAGCAAAAGCATATATACACATATATTTTGTATAAAGAAATGTCAAAAGGGGGATATCGTCCGCTGGTGGCAACACTTCTCAATGACACGTCTCTGGCGACAAGGTAAGATGACTGGATCCACTCCTCCAGCACAGACACACACCTCGCGTCTCTGGCAGCATGACCAGCTGTCAGAAACGTCGTAACTTTCCCACGCCTCTAGCAATGCGATCAGCTGGGCGTTTCGAAGTTCGTTGCTGGCTCTTTGCACACCAGCTACCACCTCCAGGATCACCAACATCCCCACCTTAATGCTCACACACACCAACTCATGCCAAAATGAGCTCTTGGCTCCTAGCCTAATATTCTGTCACTTACGACAATAAAATGATGAGTAGAAATGTTCACAACATATAAGATACTCTAGCTCACCTAGATCAAAAGGGGTAAAGGGAGGGACAATTATCTACCTTATTTCACTCCAACCACGAAGCTGACTCGTCCTCTGTTGAGGGACATTGAGGTTCCTGGTCCTGGCTTCTGGTCTCCTGATGAACAGGTCCCACACACAGGTTCCTCCGTCGTCCTCGTGATAACGTGTCTTCGCCGTGCTCTCACTCACAACAGGTACTGCCTTCCTCCTCCTCTTGTACGGGGTACAGGAGACAGGTACCTCCCTCGTTGTTCTCACCCTCACTGGCACTGCCGACATCTCGCAGTCCAGTACAGCATCCCCTCGCCTCACTGCCAGTAGATTTGGCCTGGCCCTAGCTTTTCGCTTGATGTGGAATACTGGTCCTCTGGGCGTCTCAGACGTCACCAGCCCAACGTTCCATCTGCTGTAGACTCTTGATAGAGCTCTTGGCTCTCTAATCCGGCCCGTCCTTGCTTCTGGGCACTCCACGGAAGTTGGATGGCTTCTCAGACAATGTGCAGAATCGATGCGAAGCTTAAATCTACTGTTAAAGGCTCTCTAGATTCGGAGCTCAACCGAGCGCGTCTTCCCTCTATGACGGCTCGTGATGTACTCTCCCCGCCCAAGCGCCAGCCGTCCTGGGAGCCCTCCGCCTCATGACGTCACACCGCCCGAGGGCTCTTTTTATTTGTCACTTCCAGCACGTGACCTTACCTGGCCAACCAGGTGCCGGGTGTGTCACGACGTCTTGGCGGGAAACAGGATGGCTCGACACCGTCCTGTGCCTCAAAAGGCGTAAGCCCCTTGCATTATCAAACTTAGCTGGCCATTTTACAGCCAGCTTAATCACGCTCCACGCTTTCCCACACATAAAAATGTTCCCTGAACATTAGAGAATACTTGGCTACGGAGATATGACTCTTCTAAGCTGGGAAGGAAGAAATATAGAGGTGGACACCGTCACATACCCCTCCCCTTAAAATAGTAGTTATATCGAATGAGCAGCATTGGAGAGGGCAACTATACTCTTGCTCCCTCCATTCCTGAAGTGTTACTCCTCCAGTTTGTGTCGTGGATTGTACCACCTCGCCAGTCACTTGTGTTTCTACACTTCCACCTCGCACCAGACTGGGTGTTCTCTGAACACCTATATGGGATCCTCCTTCCGTGTCCACGAGTGCGTTCCAATGACTCGTTACCACTGCAAGGTTCAGTGCATGTAATGCCTCCACAGCGTCGTGCACTCTGAGGTACCCTTGCACTTCCATCACGTCCTGCAGGTACGCCATGGTTCCTCTCAGGATCTCCTCTTCGCCTTTCTTCTCTCTTCTCGGTTCCTCTTCTCCCGTAAGTGCGTTGTCTCCTCACAGTGACACCTGTTACCTGTCCTGCATCCAGCAACTTCATCTTTTCTACATTAGGCTTTTGCGATGGCCCAATGCCCCTCTCGCTAGGCCGGTGTATACCTGTTCCCTGCTTTCTTCCAATTACCTTTCCTATACCATGCGTTCCTTCATTCTCGACGAACATCTTCACTCCTCCATGAGATTCTCTTCCCTGTGACGTCTTCTTCGGTTCGTGGTTGGGCTCGTCCACCTCCCTGTGGCTCACCTCACTACGGTGGTTCATCTTGCACCTACCACTATTCATCCGGCTGGCATAGGGTGCACTGCGTCGTGGCTCCTCCACTCTGCCCCTCACTGCCATTCACTCATCCAATGAGCTCACCCTTTTTGGTGGAGGGAGTGAGGTCTGCAGCCACTTCACCGCCCCAAGCGCTTGTACAGCTACTCCTCCCCACGCATCATTAGGCTTAACCGCAGGTCCTTGTCGGGGTTATCTGTGACCTCCGATGACCTCTCTGTCTTTTCGCCTTCGTCGTTGTCGTCCCTGACGACGTTATCATTGGTGCGGTTGGCAACCTCACCACTGCCTGGGTCAACCAACACCTCACCTGGCAGGGTCGCACCACTGCCTGGGTCAACCAACACCTCACCTGACAGGGTCGCACCACTGCCTGGGTCAACCAACACCTCACCTGGCAGGGTCGCACCACTGCCTGGGTCAACCAACACCTCACCTGGCAGGGTCGCACCACTGCCTGACACATAGGCACTCCTGGCCCAATCGGGTTGTATCCTTCCTCCACCGAGGTCGTTAACCAACACCATCTGCACGTGCTCTAAGGGTAACTTAGGGGCTACAGCTACGATAGCCTTCTCGACTCCATAGTCGGCAACCAACTGTACCTCGTGAAGTGGTAACCTGTACTCTTCTCCCACACTCTGTATTCTCACCACTCCCTCAGGTGATTCGTTAGATTCGTTGGGAAGAATACTCCTGGCTACCATGCTTATGTTAGCACCCGTATCACAAAGAACTACAATCTCCACTGGGTCTGACTTCCTGAACTCCACTGTGGCCCCGAAAACGAAAGGGTGTTCACCCAACTTCATTTCCCAACCATTCACATTGGGTTCACTAAGATATGGGGTATGAACAAATACTCTCTTCTCTTCTAACATCAGTCCCATATTCCTCTGGTTCTCGTCGCACTCAAGGGCGAAATGTCCTCTTACACCACAGTTGTAGCATCGGCCGTCCGCCCTAGGCGACCAGTCGCCAGTCACTCTGCCTATGCCAACAGCAGACGTTCCCTGAGTCCTACTTGGACTCCCCGTCGTTGTCTCCCTGGCAGCGTTCCTCGCTCCAGCACCAGTCCCGGTGTTCCCTCCTTGGGGTCTCCTCACCGGTTCCCCTGAACTTTTGGACTGACCTCACTGTGTGCACTATCCTTGGGAGAGTCTCCACCCGTCCTCGCCCTTCCTGAACTCTTGACGTCCCCCCCAAACCTTGGGTAAGGCGAGTGCCTAGGCGGTCCCTTCTTCCCGTGATGTAGTGCCTCTTCCAGTAGGTCGGCTCTGTCTGCAGCAGCCTTAAGTTCTCTAATACCTGCCTCCTTGATCCTGACCCTTAGTTCTGGATGGAGCATTGACATGAATCTTTCCATCACCATCAACTGCTTCAGCTCCTCCATCATCTCCACCTCTTCAGCCATCAGCCACCGCAGGAACCTGCGCTCCATGTCCCGAGCAGTTTCAGCATACGACCTTCCGGAAGCTCTTGTGTACTCACGGAAGCGTTTTCTGTGAACCTCCGGGGTTAATCGATACGATAGGAGCACAGCTTTCTTCATCATGTCGTAAACGGCGCATTCCTCAAGGTCCAACATGTTATAAGCTTCCCTGGCTCGCCAGTCAACCAACTCTGCACTAACGCAGCCCAATCCTCTTCCAGCCATTCCTTCAATGTCTCTATCCTCTCAAAATGGTCGAAGAAAGCTTCGGCCTCCAGAGGGTCAAAGGTTGGTAGGTCGCGTTCCCGGGCCTTGGGGTCATCCCGCCAAGCTGACACTGAGGGCAGCCCGCGCTCCGCCCGACGCATCTCAACCTCCTTCTTCACTTTTATTTCTTCCCGTCGCAGTTGTCTTTCGCCTTCCTCTCGTTGCAGTTGGGCTTCACGCTCCTCACGCTTCAGCTGAGCCTCGCGCTCCTCGCACTTTGAGCTTCGCACTCCTCCCGCTTCAGCTGGGCTTTGCGCTCACGCTCCTCTCGCTCTAGTTGGGCGTCACGCTCCTCTCACTTCAGCTGAGCTTCGCGCTCCTCTCGCTTCAGCTGGGCTTCACGCTCCTCACGCTTTAGCTGAGCTTCAAGCTGCATTTTCATTATCTCTAGCTTCATGTTTCTCCTGCTACTACCGCTGGATGCCCTACTGCTACCTTCGTCGCTCCGGTTCCCACCAACACTGGCAGGTACTTGGGGCGGTCCTTCCTTGGAAGCCTCCTCTCGGGCCTTGAGCTGAGCCATGATCTCAATCCGATGCTCCGCCACCCTGGAGGACCTCAATCTCAACCTAAAATGGTCCGCAGCCAGCTGCAGCTGAGCTTTGGTGCACTCTTCCAACTCCTGCTCGTCCCTCGACTCAATAAACTTCTTTACTCTGTCATTCTCCATCTCTAGGCTATTGAGTAACTGTATACAGGGAATACACTAGCGAGCAGTGTAAACCGTGACCAATATCGACCTTAATACACTTGCCCTGCACTTGCAATCCTTTGTCCACTGTTGTTCGATGTATCCAGGCAAGGTCGTCACTGTCAGGGTTCACCCCCTTCCTACCTGTAGTTGGGGTCGTCCCACGGGTCTTAGCCCCTCAGTACCAGGCGCCACTGTTTGCCCTTGGGCTCCCACAGTCAACTAAGGGCTGGCCTTATACACCCCTAGCGAGTGGGAAGGTTCAAGCTTCCTATAACTCACCTAAACCTGCCCGTCCTGACACTGGAACACTCTCTTGGATATCTGGTCTATTCAGGTCGCCAGCTGGGTGTTTACACTCGTGTCCCAGCCACACATCAGTGATCTTAGTGGTTATCTTAATCAAGGATGCAATATTACGTGCAGTGCAAGGTGTCACTAATGGTCTCAAAAAAAAAAATATATATATATATACGTGGTCCTCTGGGCATCCCAGACGTCCCCAGCCCAACGTTCCCTCTGCTGCAGACTCTTGGCTCTCTAATCCAGTCCGTCCTTTCCTCTGGGCACTCCACGGAAGTTGGATGACTTCTCAGACTGTCTGCAGAATCGAAGCGGAGCTTAAATTTCCTGGTAAGGGCTCTCTAGATCCGGAGCTCGCTCGAGCGCGTCTTCCCTCTATGACGGCTCGTGACGTACTCTTCCAGCCCTGGCGCCAGCCGCCCCCAAAGCCTTCCGCTTCGTGACGTCACACCGCCCGAGGGCTCTCGTCATTGGTCACTTCTGGCACGTGACCTCACCTGGCCAATCAGGTGCCGGGAAGCGTCAGGACGTCTTGGCGGGAAACAGGATGGCTCGACACCGTCCTGTGCCTCAAAAAGCGTAAGCCTCTTGCGTTATCAAGCTTAGCTGGCCATTTTACAGCCAGCTTAATCACGCTCCAATCTTTCCCACACATGATAATGTTCCCTGAACATTAGAGAATACTTAGGCTACGGAGATATGACTCTTCTAAGCTGGGAAGGAAGAAATATAGGGGTGGACACCGTCAAAATATGCCGAAATGGTTTGTATTTCGAAAATGGTAAGATAAGTAATATAGCCATTTATGCAAATAATATCGCCATATATCATATTTCGAGTGAATTTCAACATTATATTTCGCGACTTTATTATGAAACAATGTGGGCGATAGGACTGGAGAATGATTCCATTCTTGAATACAAACCTTTAAATAGAGGAAGATCCATATTTGTATTTAACCTAGCTGCGAAAGATACAAGAGATGCTCTACCCATAGAGAAATCTGGTAACTTACGCATGGAACTTCTTTTCGATGGGGGTGTTGCATATAACAGACTGATTCTACTCTTTGCAGAAACGACTGGGATCCTATCCATCGACCACCAAAGAGCTGTTTTTTGTGATGTGCGTGCTTAAAACAACAAATTCATGAATTGTCAAGAAATTAATTTAAATTTACAACATAAACTTGGAGAACAAATGTACTATCTCGGGTGTTATAATGCTGAAGAGATTATGCAGATTGATATTTTAAAACAAAGACTAGTGAAACCTATCGTCTTTATAGCTAATATTTTACCTACTGACAGCAAAATATATATGGGGCATTGGGTGTGTATGTACTTAGACATGCTCACTCGCCATTTATTCTTTTTTGACAGTTTTACTCTATCGCCAGATTTTTATAGTCCTTATTTTAGTTTTATTGAAAAACTAAACTTTTTTTTTTTTGAGATATATACAAGAGTTGTTACATTCTTGTACAGCCACTAGTACGCGTAGCGTTTCGGGCAGGTCCCTGGAATACCATCCCCTGCCGCGAAGAATCGTTTTTTCATCCAAGTACACATTTTACTGTTAAGTTAAACAGAGTCTACAGTTAAGGAATTGCGCCCAGTAAATCCTCCCCGGCCAGGATACGAACCCATGACATAGCGCTCGTGGAACGCCAGGCGAGTGTCTTACCACTACACCACGGAGACTGCTTTATTTAAAGTTTATTGAAAAACATAATGTTAGAGAAGTGCATACATCATTGTATAGAATCCAGAGTGATTTTAGTCTCACTTGTGGATTATACTGCATCAAGTTTGTACATAAAGTTAGCCACCTGGGATTAAATTCAACCTTGCTATATTTAAAAAATGTATTTTTTAAAGTACTTTTAGACTTAAATGGTAAGGATGTTCTATCATACGCCAGACATTATTTACCAATGAAGCAGCCTTGTG